TATATACATATATACATATACTGTATATATATATATATATATATCCTCATTTAACATCCTCATTTAAATAAGGTAAATATGTGTATAGAGTCTCATAGCTGTTGTACTCCAGGTGCTCCACCCCTTTGTGTGTTTTATTATGGTGTTCAATTTGATTTAAGCACTTTAATTAACCAAAACCTTTGTTTGTCTGCTTAAATATTAACAACATTTTACCAGGAAAAAAAATGACAGAGTTATAATCTAATTCTTAGTGCATGAGACCTCACAATTGCACCCAAAGCAGCTCTGATCCTCTATAGGACTTTTGTTTCAGGAAAAAAAAGAATAACCTGGATTGTTTGTTTTCCCAGAGTCCCACTCCTCTGCACTAAAACACAACTGTCAAACAGTACCTGCGACTCTGATTGGCCAGTTCACAGGAAAATAAAGAGCTTTACCTTTGAATAAGCTCCGCCTATAGCTAATAACCTCAGCGACGCTGCTGTGCAAACACGACCATGCACAAACATACCTAAAACAAAACGGACATGCAGGCCTACGACCATAACTGCAAACAGAAATGTGTGCATGTGCATTCATGCTAAACCAAAAACACAAAAAGCTGGAGAAAATGGCAGATTTGTATGTGGACTCTCTCTCTAGGTTAGACATGCAGAAGAGCAGTGTGTGAGACAGGAATCACGCAGTCGCTCTCCCTCTCTGAGGTCAGTCATGTAGAAGAGTCGTGTGTGAGACAGGCATTCACAAGCTCAGCTCTTCCCCACATTCTGCACGCATGTTTCGGCTGAATCTGTTTCCGCACACACAGCTCTGTCTCTTTTTAAAGACTGCTCCTTTTGTCCAGAACCGATTCGCAGACTAGATATGCAGCAGCAGGCATATATTTGACACTACTGTGTGAAGTTGGTGCCCACTGCTTTTGTGCTTCCCTCTCTAACCATCTAAAACTCTAATATAAAATCCATGTTTCAGAGCCGGTACAGGTGAGTAAGTTATATTGAGATGAGTTATTTCATAAGGGTTACGCCTTCACAGGTGAAAAGTGCAATCCAGAGGACTAATGATCCACCTCAAGCCAACATTAGAAACCTTCACTTGTGACTCATGTGGCGCTGGCTCAAGGGAGCAGCTCGTGCTACCGATCATCATCTCACACTTATTACACAGTCAAGTCACAAGGGATGAATAATACTATTGTCTCATTTCCATCAACATCAGTCCTGACGAGCATTACACAAAATGACCTTTTGGCAATACTTTAATGGATTCGCCTTATTATATTTTCATATAATAAATTTCTATTAAAAAATGTAATGTACATATTTAATATAACAAAGTAATATTATTGTTTTATTGAATGTTACAGCTAATAAAACTTTTACTAACTATTATTTTATTTTAAAAATGACCATTTAAAAGCTTAAAATTTAATTTGAAATTTAATTTAAAATGTAAAAACTTAATTTCTATTTATTTCTTCATGTAATTGATATCACTATTGTAAAATTTAAATGTTTATTATTATCAGTGTTGGGTAAGTTACTCTAAAAAAGCAACTGATTACTAGCTACTAATTAGATCTTCAGCAACTAATTAGATTACTATACGAATTACTCTCTAAAAAGCAATGCATTACTTATTGCTAATTTCTTTCTAAATCCCATATTACCATCAACCAGTTGAACAACACAAGAATAGACATAAAACTGCTCTTTTTTTCTTATAAAATAAATAATATAAAACTGCTAAATTATTTGAAAACTGACCAATGTATTTAAAGGAAAAAGTTTACATTAAAAACAAATTTTAACACTAGATGATACATTTTGATGTTAAATCCATTATTGTTTTATACAGCATTGTTCTACCGTTTTTAATGCAATTACATAAAAAATAACTATAATTTGTCACTAATGAAACACCACTTATTAATTCAACGAGTGTACAGTGCACACTTCTAATAATAGCTACAGGATGCAGAGGAGGAAACGAGAAGAAAGGTAAGGAAATGCCTGTGAGCTCCGCTGGGAACGACCCAAACCGTTCAGAACCGGGCCAATGAGAGAGATGTGAGGGAGTCGCGAGCGCGTGCACACACACACAGAGTCCAGAACATGAACATTAAACAAACTACAATAACATGAAGCAACTTAAGCGCATAAATATACAAATACTGAGAAATATGAAAGAATATAGAAATATACAGCGAGTTTGGTATTGTATCGATCATATATTTGTTCTCTAGAACAGAAACAACAGGACATCCTTGTTATACCAACATGAAAATAGTATTTTCATATCTAACTTACCTCGGTGAAAAAGTTATCCATTGTCCTTATAATTATGAATCTCTGAGGTCTTCATAGAAGTCAACAAGCCGAACCATAAGTGTAACACAACAGAGTGAAAAGTGTCATGCAGCCTCTCACTGCATCTCACTGATCTCTAGACCACTGAAGCCAGTTTGTTTCTCTCTCGCGCAAAGACACGTCTTTGTTTCAGACCATACAGATGTTGGAAACTATCTTATGTCCCGCTGCCAATCACGAAAGCAGGAAAAAGCTTAATCTTCCCCGAGGGCAGTGACACCGGGGCTCGCAAATCCGCAGCGTGACGGGATATAAAGACGCGGCGCGAGGTCACTTTGTATGCCGGTGTGACACGCGCCTCGGTAAACAGCGAGGGCTTCGTCACCTGCCAAGTTTGCAGTGACTCCGCTGAGTCGGCTCGCTGTCTGTTGACTCCGCCCCCCGCGCGGTTTGAACGGCAAAACTTCTGGAGATCCGTGGCCTCGCTCGCGCGCTCCTCCTGCTGTTCCCGTCCAGTAGCCCCTCACTGCAGAACACAAGATTCAGGGGGCGTGGTTGGAGCCACATCTAGGGGGTGGAGATTGGTAGGTTTAGGGGTGGAGATGGGGGGGGTTAGGGGTGGGGATTGGTGGGTTTATGGGTGGAGATGGGTGGGTTTAGGGATCGGGGGTGGAGACAAGTAGGTTTAGGCATATGTAAGGTGGGAGTGGTTGGATCTGGATCCGGATTCAACCACGCCCCCTTGATCTTGTGTTCTGCAGTGAGGACCATCTCTTACCGTGGCAAGGTCGCGCGGCATAACCTAAAGATGATTTCTGTTGATTCACTGCGTGCAAAAATCAACGAAAGTAAACTAAATTAAATTTTTAAAATAAATCAATGGGTGTATGACAAATATCTATCTACCTAGTGTTCCTGTGACTCAGTGGTAGAGCATTGCGTTAGCTGTGCAAAAGGTCGTGGGTTCAATTCCCAGGGAACACACATACTGGTAAAAAATGTATAGCCTGAATGCACTGTAAGTCGCTTTGGATAAAAGCGTCTGCTAAATGCATGAATTAATTAATCTATCTATAATCTGTTGTAGTGAGTTTCTGTACAAGACTGCTCTCTAGTGGTCGTGTTCATTATATGACTGGCACATTTGCAGGCGTTTCAGAACCAGGAAATGTTTCAGTTCAGCGAAATCGAAACTAGACTGCTGCCGAACTGTTGTTAATGTCTCTCCACCTGTGAGTGCGTGCAGTAAAATGGCAGAATCCAGTGTTTCTTTGGCTCTGGATCAGTTCAGCTGTTCAATCTGTCTGGATCTACTGAAGGATCCAGTGGCCATTCCCTGTGGACACAGTTACTGTATGAGCTGTATTACAGGCTGCTGGGATCAGGATGATCAGAAGAGAGTCTACAGCTGCCCTCAGTGCAGACAGACCTTCACTCCAAGACCTGTTTTAGGTAAAAACACCATGCTGGCTGAAGTGGTGGAGAAAATCAAGAAGACAAAACTCCAAGCTGCTCGTTCTGCTCAATGTTTCGCAGGATCTGGAAATGTGGAGTGTGACATCTGTACTGGGGACAAAAACAAAGCCGTCAAATCCTGTCTGGTGTGTCTGGAATCTTACTGTCAGACCCATTTTGAACGTCATGAAGAATTTCACTCTGGAAAGCAACACAAAATGACTGATGCCAATGGACAACTGCAGGAGATGATCTGCCCTCTACATGATAAACTGCTGGAGATTTTCTGTCGTACTGATCAGCAGTGTATATGTTATCTTTGCATGTTGGATGAACACAAAACCCATGAAACTGTATCAGCTACAGCAGAGAGGACTGAGAAACAGGTATGAACTCAGAATGTATGCTACATAATGACTTCATAATCGCCTATCTCTACATAGTAAAAAGATCCTTTTTAAAATAGTTCTCACTACGATCTCATGAGGCTTTAATTGTTTGTTGCATGCAGTAACATCTATCAGATTTATGGTTATTTGTTTTTCCTGCAGAGACAATTGGGTGAAATGCAGAGAAAATATCAGGAGAGAATCCAGGAGAGACAGAAGTTGCTTGAGGAGCTTAGAGAGGATGTAGAGTCTCACAAGGTGAGTTTTGAGCAGAAGAACAGCTGCTGGCTGCTGAAGAGCTGTTTCAGACTCAGTTTGGACTCTCCTCAGTCAGTCAGTGAGGTCTATCAAATGTTTCTGTGTCTTTAGCTGGTGTTTCTATTGTGTCTTTGTGTCTGTGTAGAGTTTCCAGTCTCTCTCGGTTACTCCTGGATCTACAGACTCGCCCAGCATAACTGTCAGTTCTCGTCTCTCTTTTGATGATGTTGGTGAATCTGTCGCACATCTGAGAGAGAAACTGGAACATTTCTGCAGAGAGGAGATAGAAAAGATTCATGATAAAGGTAAAGCACTGATCATTCATTTACTCTCAGAAATAAGTGATGCATCACACAGTCTCATACAGCAGGCTGGAATAAAGTCTGGTTCATTCTGTCTTACTTAGTTTGAACACAAGTGTTTAGCATAAAATATAATCATGACCACAGTTATAGACAGGTGAGCACAAAAGTAGACACATATTCAATTAATGGCACAGTAGTCTCTGTGAACAGTTTTCAGACGACACAGAAGAAATGTGAATTATGTAACGGAGGCCACTGGTAGGCTGTGCAATAAACCTCACTCTCCTGGCCTCAAGACACTAGCGCTAGCAACTGACGCTAGAGGCCGTGATCTTTAGTGTCCTTTTTGTTACCACCCCTGCCTCCCATGCCGACTGTTGCTGATTCGAGCTCCGCAGTCTGAGACAATGCATCATCTACTGTCGAAATACAAAATTTATTAAAATGTATGTATTAAACAACGTGTCTGTTGATTTCCATAGCAAAATATATTGAGATCATTCCCACCCCTGAATACAAGACAAGGAACGAGTTTCTACAGTGTAAGTTACTAAACAAGCAAGCACACACTCACAAAACACACTTCTTCACATATTGATCTTCAAGATTTGCCACAATGAAAATCTCATCATCTGTTATCAATAGTCAGTCAAACGGTTTTCCATTCAATTTTGGTGCTATAAGTGATTGTCCTTTTGAATACCATACATAAAATGTCCCCACAAGTGACTGTGAGCTGATTGTTCAAACACTTCAGTCTAAATTTGGGCGTCTTTTGAGGCAGAAGTTTAAAGAGAAGCATGTGGTTAGTGTCTAGAAACAGTTTGCAAAACACCTAACAATGTTCACAGCACCTTGTTTCATTTTTATTGTTTTAACACAATTGATTTATGTTAATATTTTAAAATGAGATTTCTTATTTAGATGTAGATTGTCTTTTGTCTCCATCAGATTTCTTACAGTTCAGAGTGGATTCAAACACGGTACATAAAAACCTCCGTCTGTCTAAGGGGAACAGAGTGATAAAATACACTTCTGAAAAACAGAGGTATCCTGATCATCCAGACAGATTTGACACTGTGGAGCAGGTGTTGTGTGAAGAGAGTGTGTGTGGATGCTGTTACTGGGAGGTTGAGTGGAGTGGTGAGGTGGACATATCAGTGTCATTTAAGAGCATCAGCAGGAAGGAAAGGGGTGATTATAATGATGACAGTTGTGACCCATGTGAGTTTGGACGTGATGATCAGTCCTGGAGTTGGTTCTGCTCTGACTCTCGTTGCTCATTCTGGCATAATAACGAAGGGACTGAACTCCCTGTAGTCTCCAGCTCCTCTAGAATAGGAGTGTATGTGGATCACGGTGCAGGAACTCTGTCCTTCTACAGCGTCTCTGACACAATGACCCTCATTCACAGAGTCCACACCACATTCACTCAGCCTCTCTATGCTGGGTTTGCGATTTATGGTGACTCAGTTGTGAAACTGTGTGAGACATAAAAATAGAGGATGCATACAGTAGACTGTGCAAACAATATTGTCAAACAGCTTTAATCAATAAATCAATATACTACAGCTGAACTTATGTTATTAAAAACAAGTTCATTAAATATTATTAGAGCTGAAATATTTAATCAGATTGATTTATGTAAGGGATAATGTACATCCAGCCGGTTGTTATCTCAGAATAAACCCTGACAGGGTGATCAGGACCCCGATGCGAAGCGGAGGGGTCTTGTATCAGCTTGAAGGGGTTTATTCTGAGATAACAACCGGCTGGATGTACATTATCCCGCTTATTACACGGCTAAAAAGATTTGTTTTTACCATATATGTTGAAATTAATGCTGAAGTCTTCCATTGTAACACGCGGTGGTTAAGTGTTTTCAGTCACAAGATGGCACCAGGCAGTCAACGATAGCGGAGTGACTCGTTAAGCATATAAGTAGTACCGGTCAAGATAACTCGTAGTACCCGGATGAGCGGTGTGTTATTCAATTTTGCGGTTGTTATCTGGGAATAACATACCGCTGGATGGCGCGATTGACCAATCAGAATCAAGTATTCCACAGAGCCATGTAATAATAATGGTTATAATAACCAATATGGCCTATTATCATTTGTGTAACAGACACTGTAAAATAAAATGTTTTCAGACAAGTTTGTTGCATTGTATTTCTTTCATCAAACATGGGGAATGAGGTGAGAATGAGGTACCAATATTATTAGAGAGAAAAACAATCTTTTGATGAGAAGGAACTGAATATCTTGCTAGCATTGTTTAGCATGTAGCTAGCACAGCACATTTTAACATGATTTCACATTTTACTGCCATGATTCTAACATGCTTTAAGACAATGCTAGCATGATTTATCATGTTGCAAACATGTTTCTAGTGAGTGTCAGCATAATACTAGTGTTTTAAAAGTGTTAACACGTTAGTATAATTTTTCTAGCATGTTTTAGTAAGTGAACTTGCTAGCATGTTTTAACACACTCCTAGCATGATCCTAGCAAGTTTTAGCACTTTGGGTCTCACACTTATAAAGTTAATATGGTATAATGCATACCTTTAGTTGCTGCAATCTTACTACAAATACCACAGTTAAATTATGGTTACTCTTTAAGAATATATGAGACAAAGCAGTACAGAGGCAAAATTCCCATGACAAAGTAATCATATTACATGTTAGCAACACGCTAAAACATATTAGAACATGCTAAAATGTGCTAGAAACAATAAACATCCAACTTTAAACCTGGGGTTCTCAACTTTGGCTCTCGAGGTCCACTTTCCTGCAGAGTTTAGCTCCAACCCTAATCAAACACACCTGAACAAGCTATTCAACGTCTTCAGGATCACTGGAAAGTTACAGGCAAGTGAGTATGATCAAGGCTGAAGCTAAACTCTGCAGGAAAGTGGACCTCGAGGGCCAGAGTTGAGCTGCTTTAAACTGTATTTTAAAATTTCAGATAAAGCAACATCAAAGTTTGTCCTGACAAACTTTACTTCTGTAGTTTCAATAAAGCTTAGTTTTTATTGATGGATTAAAAGGATGGTTGATTGTTTTCCATGCATTTACAATTTTAATAATTAGGTTTTAAAAATCAGCTATTTTGATGACTCTGTTTAACATTTTAATGATGTTTCATAATAATAAAAGAAGTCCATTATGTGTATATTCTCTTTAAGTGTATTCCATTCAATTGTAAGTGCCAAGAATAGTGAACTTCACAGAGTATTTCACCATCCAAGAGAGATTCCAATCCGAAGGAAGAGTACTTGTTAAGTTTAAGGGGCACTGCAAATTTCACCAGGAACGAGAAACTGTACTATTAATTATATAAATGAACTTTGAACGGTGTTTATGATAATGTGAGGGAGCAAAGGTCGCTCATAAATTTCTTCATGTGTGTGGACTTTAGTCTAACCATTCCTACCTTTAGTGTGGTTTATTACCATCTTCTTGCTCAGTCTTGAAGTAAAATTCAGCGGGCTTATGTTATGCTTTTCTTTGTTTTTTAAAACTTCTATTCCTATGTTCTAGGCTTTTGAGTTGCTGTATGTATCTGTGTTTAGTAAAATGGCAGAATCCAGTATTTCAGTGGCTCAGGATCAGTTAAGCTGTTCAATCTGTCTGGATCTACTGAAAGATGCAGTGGCCCTTACCTGTGGACACAGTTACTGTATGAGCTGTATTACAGGCTACTGGAATCAAAAGGGAGTCTACAGCTGCCCTCAGTGCAGACAGACCTTCACTCCAAGACCTGTTTTAGGTAAAAACACCATGCTGGCTGAAGTGGTGGAGAAAATCAAGAAGACAAAACTCCAAGCTGCTCGTCCTGCTCAGTGTTTCGCTGGATCTGGAGATGTGGAGTGCGACGTGTGTACTGGGGACAAAAACAAAGCCGTCTGGTGTGTCTGGAATCTTACTGCCAAATCCATTTTGAACGTCATGAAGAATTTCACTCTGGAAAGCAACACAAAATGACTGATGCCAATGGACAACTGCAGGAGATGATCTGCCCTCAACATGACAAACTGCTGGAGATTTTCTGTTGTACTGATCAGCACTGTTTATGTTACATGTGTATGGTAGATGAATACAAAGACCACGACACTGTATCAGCTGCAACAGAGTAATTAAATTACGCAACGCCGTTACATGTAACTAGTTACTCCCCAACACTGTTAATCACTCACTGCTAGGTTCTGTTTTGGCAGAGACATTAATTAAAACTAATCTTTGGCAGCTTGTGATAGAGCTGCTAAAAAGAAAAGGAAAATAAATAGAAATGTGAATTGACTTTTCAATTCAAAAATATTTGACTAACTATAATTTCTGCTGGTCAACTCCAAACGCTCACAGACACACCAACATGTTATAATGTTGATAACAGTGAGGCAGATTTTGTGAACCTAAATGTAATAAACCTCTGCCGTTTTATTTTTTTATGTTTGAAAGCCATGTATTACTTGATATATGCAGATAATGTGTTTTATCTTCATCAGATTGCCGTCAGCTCACTTTGGATCCAAATACAGTGAATAAAAACCTGGTACTGTCTGAAGAGAACAGAGTGATTGAATACACTCGTGAAGAACAGCTGTATCCAGATCATCCAGACAGATTTGATGGTTTTCCTCAGGTGTTGTGTAGAGAGAGTGTGTGTGGACGCTGTTACTGGGAGGTTGAGTGGAGTGGTTGGGTGGGTATATCAGTGTCATATAAGAGAATCAGCAGGAAGGGATGGGGAAAGGAGTGTGAGTTTGGTTGTAATGATCAGTCCTGGTGTTTGTACTACTCTGACTCCAGCTGCTCATTCTGGCACAATAACGGAAGGACTGCACTCCCTGTAGTCTCCAGCTCCTCTAGAATAGGAGTGTATGTGGATCACGGTGCAGGAACTCTGTCCTTCTACAGCGTCTCTGACACAATGACCCTCATTCACAAAGTCCACACCACATTCACTCAGCCTCTCTATGCTGGGTTTTGGGCTAACAAATATTTAAAAAGACTAATGTTTTTCTTTTCAAAAGTTTCAAAAGTTGATCTTACAATATAGATGGTACAAACTTTCTACAAATAATATAGTGAGATGTAACAGGTGTAACAGGTGTTGTGGCCCTTTTTCGTTTCTCTCCCATGCAGAGACAGTGCAGAAAGGGGACATTTCAGCAATGAATTTAATTTTACATTAGTAACAAAGCAGCATACCTGATAAGACATAGGAGTATGTATATATGGTGTGAATTCGCCTTTTCGTTTCTGTAAGACGAATGTAAAGTGCAATGTAATTAGCATGTGCTTCCAGTTCACATCGGACAGAAAAGTGACCAAACGTGAGAAAAATACAATAATAAAATATACATGAAAAACAATGTCTTGTATATGATTTAGACGACAGATTTAAGTACAAAAGTAATTTAAAAGAAAAAGATGTAATTGGATTAATCAGAGCTCATTAGAAACCCACCTCTCCCATGCAGAGACAGTGCAGAAAGGGGGTTCTGTTTTGGCAGAGACATTAATTAAAACTAATCTTTGGCAGCTTGTGATAGAGCTGCTAAAAAGAAAAGGAAAATAAATAGAAATGTGAATTGACTTTTCAATTCAAAAATATTTGACTAACTATAATTTCTGCTGGTCAACTCCAAACGCTCACAGACACACCAACATGTTATAATGTTGATAACAGTGAGGCAGATTTTGTGAACCTAAATGTAATAAACCTCTGCCGTTTTATTTTTTTATGTTTGAAAGCCATGTATTACTTGATATATGCAGATAATGTGTTTTATCTTCATCAGATTGCCGTCAGCTCACTTTGGATCCAAATACAGTGAATAAAAACCTGGTACTGTCTGAAGAGAACAGAGTGATTGAATACACTCGTGAAGAACAGCTGTATCCAGATCATCCAGACAGATTTGATGGTTTTCCTCAGGTGTTGTGTAGAGAGAGTGTGTGTGGACGCTGTTACTGGGAGGGGGAGTGGAGTGGTTGGGTGGGTATATCAGTGTCATATAAGAGCATCAGCAGGAAGGGATGGGGAAAGGAGTGTGAGTTTGGTTGTAATGATCAGTCCTGGTGTTTGTACTACTCTGACTCCAGCTGCTCATTCTGGCACAATAACGGAAGGACTGCACTCCCTGTAGTCTCCAGCTCCTCTAGAATAGGAGTGTATGTGGATCACGGTGCAGGAACTCTGTCCTTCTACAGCGTCTCTGACACAATGACCCTCATTCACAAAGTCCACACCACATTCACTCAGCCTCTCTATGCTGGGTTTTGGGCTAACAAATATTTAAAAAGACTAATGTTTTTCTTTTCAAAAGTGACACTCTGTGATCTTACAATATAGATGGTACAAACTTTCTACAAATAATATAGTGAGATGTAACAGGTGTAGTCTGCGTTGTGGCCCTTTTTCGTTTCTCTCCCATGCAGAGACAGTGCAGAAAGGGGACATTTCAGCAATGAATTTAATTTTACATTAGTAACAAAGCAGCATACCTGATAAGACATAGGAGTATGTATATATGGTGTGAATTCGCCTTTTCGTTTCTGTAAGACGAATGTAAAGTGCAATGTAATTAGCATGTGCTTCCAGTTCACATCGGACAGAAAAGTGACCAAACGTGAGAAAAATACAATAATAAAATATACATGAAAAACAATGTCTTGTATATGATTTAGACGACAGATTTAAGTACAAAAGTAATTTAAAAGAATAAGATGTAATTCGATTAATCAGAGCTCATTAGAAACTCACCTCTCTCATGCAGAGACTGTAAGATGTAATTGGATTAATCAGAGCTCATTAGAAGCACACCTCTCTCATGCAGAGACAGTGCAAAAGGGAAGAGGAGGTGCAAAGACAGGAAATTAGGATCAACAGTGCGGTCAGAAATTTAAAGGGGAAGGTGCACACACACACACACACACACAGGCATATCAGGTACACATTTGAACATTTTTGTGTAATTCTACATATATGAACATAATACTTTCTATACCTGTTACAGAGAGATATTTGCAAGATATCATAGCCATGTTTTGAATTTTGACATTTATTCTTATGTTTACTCCAAATATGATCAATACAATATTAATTTATTTATTCACTGATTTTATTGATCACTTGCAATGATGCTTGTTATTTGTTATGTATGAAATTGTCTTTTAAATGGAAATAACTGCATTTAAATGAACTGTGTTAAATAACATCACATCACTTCCATTTGTGGCTGTCTACCAAATGCATAAATGTAACACATTTAAAGGGTCTGTCATTCACAAAGAAGAACATAAAAGGCTTCAAATACTTGATAATCCTGTGGGAAAAGAAGAGGACGAGCGTTACAATCGGTATAAACAACAGATTTTTATTTTAATATATATTATAGAATTATATCAATATCATTACCTCTTGTAGTGAGTTTCTGAATAAGACTGCCATCTAGTGGTCGTGTTTATTTTATGACGCATATTTTGCACACGTTTCAGAACCAGGAAATGTGTCAGTTCAGCGAAATCGAAACTAGACTGCTGCTGAACTGTTGTGAATGTCTCTCCACCTGTGAGTGCTTGCAGTAAAATGGCTGAATCCAGTGTTTCTTTGGCTCAGAATGAGTTCAGCTGTTCAATCTGTCTGGATCTACTAAAGGATCCAGTGACCATTCCCTGTGGACACAGTTACTGTATGAGCTGTATTACAGGCTACTGGGATCAAAACAGTGTCTACAGCTGCCCTCAGTGCAGACAGACCTTCACTCCAAGACCTGTTTTAGGTAAAAACACCATGCTGGCTGAAGTGCTGGAGAAACTCAAGAAGACAAAACGCCAAGCTGCTCGTTCTGCTCAATGTTTCGCTGGATCTGGAGATGTGGAGTGTGACATCTGTACTGGGAGAAAATATAAAGCCATCAAGTCCTGTCTGGTGTGTCTGGAATCTTACTGTAAAAATCATTTTAAACGTCATGAAGAATTTCACTCTGGAAAGCGACACAAGTTGACTGATGCCAATGGACAACTGCAGGAGATGATCTGCCCTCAACATGATAAACTCCTGGAGATTTTCTGTCGTACTGAGCAGCAGTGTATTTGTTATATGTGTATGGTAGATGAACACAAAGACCACAACACTGTATCAGCTGCAGCAGAGAGGACTGAGAAACAGGTATGAATTCAGTTATGCTGAATAATAAATGTATCTTCATAATCACATAATAGGCACAAAATTGAAGATAATTTTAAAACAGTTCTTACTAGAGACAGAAAATTTATTTTCTCCGCTTATTTTCTCTTTTTTTGAAACTTCTTTGCGACATTATCTACAAGGACTAATGAATTGTATGTTGACTATATACTCTACAGAGACAACTGGAGGAGACACAGAGAACAAACCAGCTGACAATCCAGGAAAGACAGAAGAAGCTTGAGGAGCTGAGAGAGGCTGTAGAGTCTCACAAGGTGAGTTTTGAGCAGAAGAACAGCTGCTGGCTGCTGAAGAGCTGTTTCAGACTCAGTTTGGACTCTCCTCAGTCAGTCAGTGAGGAGCCAGTGCTGGAGCTCTTTCAGTCCCACTGAAGCCCACTGTGGGGAACAGGCTGTGTGAGGTAGCAGTAAGAGCTGAGTGAATGGACTGATTCTGATGCTTCTCTCTCTGTGTCCTAACAGCGCTCTGCACAGGCAGCAGTGGAGGACAGTGAGAGGATCTTTACTGAGCTGATCCGCTCCATTGAGAGAAGCCGCTCTGAGGTGACACAGCTGATCAGAGATCAGGAAAATGCTGCAGTGAGTCGAGCTGAAGGACAACTGGAGCAACTGGAGCAGGAGATTGAAGATCTGAGGAGGAGAGACGCTGAGCTGGAGCAGATTTCACACACAGACAATCACATCCGTTTCTTCCAGGTAACAGAGATCTGACAAACAGGACAGTGGTCTTCAGGAAGGGAAGAGCAAGTTGTACAGAGATTGTGTTTCTATCAAATGTTTCTGTGTCTTTAGCTGGTGTTTCTCTTGTGTCTTTGTGTCTATATAGATTTTCCAGTCTCTCTCTGTTCCTCCTGGATCTACAAACTCACCCAGCATCACTGTTAGTTCTATTCCATCTTTTGATGATGTTGAAAAATCTGTGTCTCATCTGAGAGAGAAACTGAAGCATTTCTGCAGAGAGGAGATAGAAATGTTATCTGGTAGAGGTAAGCTTTACATTTCCTGACATAATATGATGTCATGTAGAAAGAATGCATACGCAAATAAAAAATGTTTTATAATTGCAATACATTTTTATTTGACTATATTTACTATAAAGTGTCTGTTGGTTTCCATAGTGAGAAACATCAACATCATTCCCATCTCTGAACCCGAGACCCGTGAGGAATTCCTCAAATGTAAGTCTCTATAAGCATACATGTACATAAAGAGACAGACTTTAATTCTTATTACATTTCGTCAAGACTGAACTGTGCTGAACTCCACACAACACTCTTGATTTACACGAGATACATTTATACTGTTAATTTAGTCAAATTTTTTAACCCAAATCAGGAATAATCACATGATAACCAGTTTAATTACTGGGTTAGTTGAATGTCCTGATCTGGTCACTTCTGTTAATCACTCACTGCTAGGTTCTGTTTTGGCAGAGACATGTTAATTAAAACTAACCTTTGGCAGCTTGTGATAGAGCTGCTAAAAAGAAAAGGAAAATAAATAGAAATGTGAATTGACTTTTCAATCCAAAAATATTTGACTAACTATAATTTCTGCTGGTCAACTCCAAACTCTCACAGACACACCAACATGTTATAATGTTGATAACAGTGAGGCAGATTTTGTGAACCTAAATGTAATAAACCTCTGCTGTTTTATTTTTTTATGTTTGAAAGCCATGTATTACTTGATATATGCAGATAATGTGTTTTATCTTCATCAGATTGCCGTCAGCTCACTTTGGATCCAAATACAGTGAATAAAAACCTGGTACTGTCTGAAGAGAACAGAGTGATTGAATACACTCGTGAAGAACAGCTGTATCCAGATCATCCAGACAGATTTGATGGTTTTCCTCAGGTGTTGTGTAGAGAGAGTGTGTGTGGACGCTGTTACTGGGAGGTTGAGTGGAGTGGTTGGGTGGGTATATCAGTGTCATATAAGAGAATCAGCAGGAAGGGATGGGGAAAGGAGTGTGAGTTTGGTTGTAATGATCAGTCCTGGTGTTTGTACTGCTCTGACTCCAGCTGCTCATTCTGGCACAATAACGGAAGGACTGCACTCCCTGTAGTCTCCAGCTCCTCTAGAATAGGAGTGTATGTGGATCACGGTGCAGGAACTCTGTCCTTCTACAGCGTCTCTGACACAATGACCCTCATTCACAGAGTCCACACCACATTCACTCAGCCTCTCTATGCTGGGTTTTGGGCTAACAAATATTTAAAAGGACTAATGTTTTTCTTTTCAAAAGCAACACTCTGTGATCTCACAATATAGATGGTACATACTTTCTATTCTCAAGATATCATAGCCATGTTTTGAATTTTGACATTTATTCTTATGTTTACCTCAAATATTATCAATGCAATATTAATTTATTTATTCACTGATTTTATTGATCACTTGCAATGATGCTTATTATTTGTTATGTATGAAATAGTCTTTTAAATGGAAATAACTGCATTTAAATTAACTGTGTTAAATAACATCACATCATATAATTTGTGGCTGTCATAATCTTATTCTCTTGATTCCAGCAATTTCTAGAAATCCCTTGCATAAACAAATGACCTCTAATTATCATTATTAAAACAGAGGGAGTGCACACCATTTTACTTAATGGAATTAAA